AAAGTGGGCAATGGTGTTAGGAGGTGGGGCTTTTGAGGTGATTAGGCATGAGGGCAGAGCCTTCATGAATGGAGTTATTTTTCTTATAAAAGAGGCCGGGGGTGGGTGCGGAAGAGGGCCAGAGAACAGCCTGGCTCCTCTCACCATGTGAGGACATAGCAATAAGTGGGCCATCTGGGACCCCAAGGGGCCCTCACCAAAACCCACTGCACTGACCCCCTGATCTTACTCTTCCAGCCTCCAGAACTGTAAGAAATAGATTTCTATTTTTATGGGCCACTCAATTAAGTGTTTTTTTTTTTTGGGGGGGGGGTGGGTCTATGAAGGGTTTTTGTTTGTTTAATACTTCTGAAAAGAATGAATATACAAAGAATTAAAACAGGAAAAAGCATTGGTTAAACACTAATGAATCTACAAGATTAGGATGTGGGGAAGGTGGAAAAGATTACCTAAACATTTTTTAAAAACTGGAAACTGCAATCAAATAAGCTGGAAAAAAAAATCCCTATTAACTCTTATGAAGAAGAGTCTCTACAAGACTCTTGCCATGATTTTCATTAGAGAATATCAGTGGACTAGGGGGCCTCATATGCAAAACAGAAATAAGGGGATTCCCAACTGGTCAGTCCCCTTGTTGGTAAATGTTCTCCCACGCTATCCACATGCCTCAGTTAAGTTTTAATATGGAAAATTTAATTTCTGGAGCGACCAATATGTATTTTAACTTTCATCATATAAATTTTATGAAAAAGCAAAATAAAACTGCTATTTTGTTATAGCAGCTCAAAGGAACTAAGGCAATATACTTACTATACAATCCAGTTACCTTCCTTTTGTGTTTCTCTGAAGGACATAACACCAATGTTCATAAAAATGTTGAGAGTAATTTTATTCATAACTATCTTAAACTAGAAATAACCCAAAGGTAGCTCACTCGTAAATGGATAAACGAGTTATAGTACAATCAGGTAAAAAAAAAAAAAAAAAAAAGAACACCATATGAACAAAAAATCCCACCCAAAATGATACTACTCAGAAACAAAGGGAACAAGCAAAAAACACAACTTATGCTAAAGCGAGAGAAGCCAGGCCTAAACAGCTACACACTGTATGATTCCGTTGATATGACCTTATGGGAAAGATGGCAGAGAGATAGCAGATCAGAGGTAGCCAAGAGCTGGCGACAGGGGAGGCAGCTGACTTCAGAGGAACAGGAGGGAGCTGTGAGCAATGGTGAAGTGTTCTGTTTTGGCTGCTGTGGTTCCAGGACTCCATGCTTTTTTCAGAATACAGAGATATAGACCTTTAAAGGGTGCATTTCACTGCATGTAAATGATACTGACTCAAACTTATTTTTTTAAATGAGTCATTTTGTGGCCTCATAGGTATCATGCCAATGGTGAATAGATTTCCATTAAAACACCTGATGCAAGCAAGCTTGGGAAAAGAAGGTGGGCAGGTGGCCGGAAGGGGCAGGGCCTCCCCTTTTCTTCAAATAACTAGCCAGCTGCTGCCCTACTGCTCCTTTCTCTGTGTGAGCAGCAGACAGATGCACTGAGCTGACAGGGCCCATGTTTGAAGGTCGTGTCTTGGAGAACAGTGGCCACCGTCTGTCCGTGATCGTAGATGTCTTCCATCCTACAGACACCTGCTCATTGTCCACACCATCCATGGATGTCCAGACCTGAAGTGCCAAGTAACTTCTGAGTTTTTATTTGTTTGCTCAGCTTTAGAGACCTCTCAAGCACGTCACAGTGGCTGTTCATTAGGTACAACGGATGCTGTAATGACTGCCATCTTTGATACAGATCTATAGGGCCCTGCAGCCTACAGCTGGCAGGTGCAATAAGGATAAATGCCCATCAGCTACTGCGAGAGGGTTGCTCACCCTTCTTATATAGCACATCAACATCTGCCTGCCCGAGCTGCTGAAAACAGAATGATCAGTATCATCTCATTTACAGAAAGGGATCTTTTCTGGGGTATAGAGCCAACTAACTTTATGTGAAGGATATTGTACTGGTCCTGAGTTTCCAAAGAATAGAACCAATAGTATCTATCCATTTATGTCTGGGAGGAGTTTCCAAAGAATAGAACCAATAGTATCTATCCATTTATGTCTGGGAGAAATGGATTACACACCTATCAAGGATGAGCAGTCCCACAATCTGCCACAGGAAATTGGAGGCTCAGGAAAGCAGGAGGTGATTAGAGGCCTGAGAGCCAGAGCACTGGCGACAGAAGGCTGAGGCCCAGTGTGAATAGGTATGATGCTGGGGATGGGAGCCTTTGACGAGTGACAGTAGCAATAAAACTAAGCCAAATAGAACGGACACACAAGCAAACCCTGAGCTGGGGGTTTAACCTCAAGGAGAGAGGTGACAGCACTGAGAAAGAGAAGGCTGCTCTTGGAATAAAGAAGGACGCACCTTTTGTTGGGCAGCTGAGGTGGGCCAGGGACTGGTTGATCATTATCTCAGTTTGGATTTTGCCACGTGGCTCTGGTGATTTTCCTTATTGCTCGAGAGGGCAACCTACCCTCCCACCAGATGATTGCTCCTGCTCAGAGGGGTAGCCTCACTCCTGTCCTGGGGTAATTGCTCCCATTTGGGGGGTGATCTCATCATGGGGTGGTCTGTCTAAGGACTCTGCTGTTCCAGGAGCCCGGTTATTTTGCTGCAGCCGGACTGCGGCACAGGAGGGTGTAGGACAATGACCGACGGCTTCTTGGTCTCTCTCCCAGGCATCTGGAACAGGATGTTGTGAAAGCAGGCAGCTGGATGTCCCTGAAAATATCTTAGCGATTCTTATCTTGGGGTCCTCGGTTTTGAGGGGGATGAGATAGGGTGAGTAACCTTAGTGATAATAAACAAACCTTATATTGCCAGTTTTTAGACAGAGATTCCTTAAGTTTGACAGGTCTGTAGGTGGAAGACCTCAGAGTGCCTCTGTTCTTTGTCCTTGTGTAGTCCCTAATGGTCCCAATTTGGGCACAGTGAATTCAACCTTTTTCTACATTTTGTGTACTCAGGCCCTCGTGGTCTGGAAGCTGCCTACCCACCCTGGGAAGGCCATCTGCTTGGCTCAGTCCACTGACTCAAATGCTAGCCTCATCCAGAAATCCTCTCACAGACACACCAGAAATGATGTTTGAGATCCGGCATCCAAGGCCCAGTCAAGTTGACACAGAAATTAACCATCACAGATACAAAGTTTCTAGTGCAAAATTGTAGGACTTACTAATTAATTTGGAAAACTAATGAAAAGTTGGATGTTTAAAAAAATATTTCCATTGTTGACTCTCTCTACCTAAATTCAACTCTAGTGTACATCATTTTTTTTATAGCTAAAAACAGACTTCCATTAGAGGAAGCAGAAAATTTTGGGTATAAACATGACCATTTACCCATATGGTCATTATAATGGCCACTGAAAACTGAAGTTTGGGTGCACACCCCATATGCTAGCTTTGTGAACTCGGGAAGTTTGTTAACCATCCAAGCCCAAGTCCTCTTTTATAAAGATAATAATAATCACTCATAGATTTGCTGTGATGATTCAATGAGCAAATATTCATATAGCAATAGGTGCACTGGGAACTGGTAGCTGTTAGCCATGGCTGGCATGAAGGGGGCCCTCTCCTTGTCTTGAGTACACTTTACATTCTTGTTTTCCTCTCTAATAGAGCTGCCAATGGTTGCTGCTGCTGCCCCCTCCCCATCGGCAGCCACCAACAGTGGTTTAGGTCAGGAGCAGAGGCCACCATCAGTGCCAAGAGATCTGGACTCAGCATCAAATGATAGCTTAGTGTCAGTGAAGGTCCTGGCCCAGAGCTCAGGGCCCTGGCTCTGTTGCCACACCATACTCCAATCATGACATCTGAACTCTTGCATGGCCTAAGGTTTGTTTCTTTTATTGTCAGAAATTGTTGTCTTGTCCCTTCTTGACCTTCTGACTCAGAGCCAGCCTGGGCTTAATAAAAATACCTGTTTTAAAAGGGGAAGGACATACAAAGAATATTAAGACAGTCCTACTTGCCCCCAACGTCTTCCCAGAACAACCTTGAATTGCGACCTCTTCTTGCTGTGGCATCTACCTAGAAAAAATGTATCTTGAGACATTGCAGATTGTCATGGGTAAGCTGTGCCATTAACAGACCAAACATGTTTGGTGTGTCTTTCCACAATGTCAGAACTTATTGAAAAACAATAAATTCACAGGCTATACCACTTTTAGTGGTGGCAATTCACCAGATACTCATGGGTTGCCTGCTAGTCATAAGCTGGGTAATCACAAGTTCTTTTATTCCAATTTTAACTACTAATATCTATAACAGTCAAGTCACACATCTCGCTTTACACAATGAAATATATAGGTTACAGAGAGGCAGATTTTGCTTGCTCTCTCCAGACCCTGACACCATAAGAGCGAGCCCAGCTCAGCAGCTGGAAGGATGGGGGACCATGTACAGAGAGCTCAGGCTTGTCCAGCCCCAGCCCCATGAGCTGCACCTTCATGAGCAAGCCTCACCCGGCAGGGCCCAGGCCTAAGAACCACCGCAGTTGAGTTGATCCAACTATAGAACCTTGAACTAAGTAAGTAGCAGTTGCTTTAAGTCACTACATCATGGGGAGGGTTGTCACACAGCAAGAATCCTTCTTTCCCTGTTCCATGTATCACACCCGAACTACTCCTGACATTTACAAGTAAAGAAACTAATTATTCCTTTTTCTAGCAGCTGAGTAGAACACAAGTAGGAAATAACACATTTCATTTCCCTTTAAACTCTCTCACTAGGTGCCAGGCTGTATTTAAAATAATTTTCTTATGAGATTAACAACAGACATATCAACAAAGAGAGTGTTTTCTCTCCCAACCCTGTTGTCAAGGGAACCACCAATAAGACACAATAAAACCAATGTTTGACACCACAGCACACCATGGAGATCAGGAAGAAGTTGCATCATGAGTCCTGTTTTAGTACGCCATGAAAAGTAACCTTGTATAGTCAAATATAAGTTTAATAATCTCTTTATCATGTCCCCCAAATAATTTTTCATTATTGCTTTCATTTCCTTCTGATTCCATTTGTCACATACATCTCTATAATTCACAGACACAGACCTGTATTTGCTACACATTTCCTATCACTTAATTGCCTGTGGCACAACACAGAATTAGTAGGGATCCATGTGGGAAAGAATGTTACCTTTTTTCTGAAAATAGATTCTTAACATATTTATATAGCACCTCATACTTAAGGAGCTCAAGGCACTTTAGCATTCACTGTAGCATCCTTTTGATATCTCTGGGTAGGGAAACCATGATAAATTATCATTATTGCCTTTTTATAGAAAGAAAATGAAAGCACAAGAAGGCAAAATCATCTCAGTGAGATGGTGACAGTCACAGTAGAAATGGGTTTTTAGCTCAGCAGCCTACTCTGTAAACTTATAACTTTGTTTAATATATTCCATATCAAAAAGTATAATGGAAAAAAAAAGTATAATGGGTTCTTCCATTTGTGTAGCATCTCTCTTTGGATGGACTTTTAACTAAAAGAGTAAGATTGTAAATTCCCACCAATACATCATCCTGGCACTGCAGTTATTTCCCACAGTTCTTTCTGCCAGTGAAGGAGCCATTCTCTGCTTCTCCATTAGAAATCACAATCAACTGCCCCCTCCCCATCTCCGGCTGCCCCAGCCTTTCTAGGAGAACTGCAACCAGGAGGGTGAAGCCAGGGCCATTCTCTTTAGCTGGACACTTGAGGTTGGTAAAGTCTGCACAGCAACCATCATTACCACTACCAGATGTGCAAAATAATTTTAATTTGCTTAGGGGCTTTACCTTTTCTTCAGTGTTTGAGGAGAACCAATGCTCATTGGCCACTAAAGTAGGTAAATCCCCGGTTGACTCCTTATGGTCTGACTTACACTGTTTCCTCACAAGACAACCAATGCCAAGAGATGCACCCACAGGAAAATAAATTTCCCTGTATTCACAACACAGGGATTTGTTTGTAATTTATATGCACTGGAAAATAGCAAGAATGTTTTCTACTTCTACAAGTCTAAATCAGAGATGCACAGGATTGAGGAGGAAAAGAGGGCCCAGTGCCAAAACACATTTATGGCATTCATATCTAGAAAGAGAAATGCAAATTAATATGTCAACTTATTCATTCTTTCTTGAATTTTCCTGGCACCCTCCTTTCACTTTGTATGCAGGCTGGCCTTGTGTCCTTACTCATTTTCTGCATCCTTTCCAGGGAGACATCAGGAATAAGAATGCCAAGCCACAACAACTTGGATTTTTACATATTTAGTTGCCAAGTACCTGCCAAGTACCTGTTACCTCTGCCAGTGTGGACAAGTAAATCCCGTAGTGGGCAAGGCCAGGCGCTGAACTTAATTCTGCTCAAGGATCTATATAGATTTAAAAACATGGTGTGCGGGGAGAGGGCTGGGGGCAGGAGAAATGGAAGTTACTCCCAATTGCTCAGGAGGTTGAAGCAGGAGAATTGAAAGTTCGAGGCCAGCCTCAGGGAGACACTTTCCCAAAATAAAAAAAGGACAGGAAGTGTAGGTAAGTGGTAGAGCACCTCCTGGGTTCAATCCCCAGGATCAGGGATTGGGGTGGGGGACATTCAGGGAGAACATTTGATTTGCCATCTTCTTCCTTTTGGAAAAAGAGAACATAGAATGTCTTTCTCAGAAAATGTGTCCCTCCATTTGTTCCCTGCACCTCATTCTAGGCTTAAAGTTTCTAGCTTTCCCCTCAAAGTGCTTAGAGCCATCAGGGAACACTGTGAGGAGAGAAGAGATGCAAAAGAAATTATGTAAAGGAGACTGTTACCTCCAGGATAATTTGGGAGAAAAGAGGGCAAAAGTATCAAGAAATATGGTATGAAAGAAAGTGAAATATAAATATGGGGGGGATAGAGATCTGGATGGAATAAGACAGTCATAAAACATGTCAAAAGGGACAAGTTGCTGATTACAAGATAACAGGTGGCGGAGGGGAAGGAGTTACAAGGTAGTCACAGGTGCCCAGCGCAGATCACAAGGTGCACCTGCGCGGAGAGTGGACCAGCCGCTGTGGACCTCGGCGAGAAGTCACGATCCGTTTACTGTTTTGCAGTCACTGGTTTTCCGAAGAGCAAGGTGGGCAGAGGGTGCCAGGTCACTGTGCACAAGTGTACCGATGCGTGGCGGGGATCCCGGCGCGGAGCTGCAACCTCAGGTGCCACCGCGCGGCCGGAGGCGACACCGGGCGTCCGCCGCAGGGCTGGCCACACTCACGCGGCCGCGCCCTGCTCCTGCACCGGCCGCGAGGCCTTCTCGGGCCCCGGCGCGCCCTGCTCCTGCAGCCCCGCGCCCAGCCGCGCCTCGGCGCCCGCGCACGAGTCCGGGAAGCGCGGCGCGTTCCCCGCGAAGGAGTCGCGTCGCGCCAGCGTCTCTTCCTGCACCGGGCGGCCCACGGGCTCCGCCGCGGCCCCCGGCCCCGCCGCGCCCTCCTGCGACGTCTGGCTGACGTAGACCACGATGATGTCGCCCTTGAAGTTCATCACCTGCCCGCTGGAGATGAACGTGGAGTTACTGTTTCCAGTCACGTTCCCTGCGGGGAGGGGGGACACGGAGAGGTTGAGTCAGCGTCGCCGCTGGGGACTGGCCCCGAGAGAAGCCGCCGGGCCCCGCGCCCCTCGCAGGCTGGCCTGCAGGGTCTCTCGGAGGGAGCGCAGGGCACTCCCTCCCTCTGGGGAGGCCCCCGGTGCCTAGCGGCCTGCAGAGGCAGAGGAGGGAGGCAGGAGGCAGGAGGCAGGAGGCCACGCTCCTGCCCGGCACAGGGGACTGAACCTGGATTGCAGAACCACAGACAAGAACCAAAGGTGACAAAGGCGACGTGGGGGGTGCAGCAAGCACAGCTAATGGCCCAGCCTTGTCACTGGGCAAACCTCAGTCCACCGCCTCTGACTGGAGGCTTCTGCACCTGGGGGCCTTCATTCCTTCTTCCTTCTATAGAGGTTCCTAGCAGCTCAGTCCTGGAGGATCATGGGGTCAAGTGGGCTCAGTTTTTAGCGGAGGTTAATAAATTTTCTTAACATTAAAAAGAAGAAGAAGAAGTTACTCTAAAAAAAATGTTTTTTTTTTCTTCTGTCATGCAAAGTGAAATAAGCCTATCCCCCAAACTAAAGGTCAAATATTTTCTCTGATACGTGAAGGTGACCCATAATGGGGAAGGGGTGGATTGGACAAAGGGGAATGAAGAGAAGGGAGGGGGAATGGGAAAAGGAAAGAACCTGATATAACTTCCCTTTGTACCTATATGAATATACCACAGTGACTCACCATCGTACATCCACAAGAAATTAATTAAAAAAACAAAAAAACAAAAAAACAACAACCATGGGTAAATGGCAGAAAGGTCAATAGAGGTGGGTAGGGGAAGGGGAAGGGAAGAGGAAGGAGAAGTACTGGGGACTGAATTAGAACAAGAAATATATCATGCTTTTATAACTATGTCAAAATGGATTCTATTGTCATATAAAACTAAAAAGAACCAATAAAAAATAATGTTTTTTTCTTTACTATTACAGCATTCTTGCTGGTTCTGTTGTTCTTCAATATCATATGAAACTACATAAAGGGTAAATCTAGGCACTGGATGAATGATTTATGGTTTTGAATTTCATCACATCTCTTCTTTTTCCTCTTCATATTTAGATTTATCTAGTTGTGTCAGGGTATATGTGATTTATTCACTATTTAAATTTTTTATTCTCCAACAAATCATCTTGAATCCATCGTTATTTACTACTTCTTTGTTAGAACCTTAAATTTGTCTAAGCTGAAGTTAAAAAAAAAAAAAACCTGTTTTTGGGGCATTGTTTTGCACATGAAGATCTGTGTAAAATTTTGCATCTTAAGAATTTCATTCCATGCTGTTGCCCTATGGCAAACAATTCTTTGATATGATATCCTAAAATTTCTATAGGACTGATATTCTTTTCAGTTTTCTATTTTTATTTTCAAAATAGAACTCAAACCCTTTAATTTAAGGGATATATTTTTAAATTCAGAATCCTTCAGTTTATACACTGGATAATAATCTTATTCTTGGAGGGCCATAGGGGGGTTGCAGTGGGGAAGACAATATCAAGCTCTTTAAATTCCTGACAATTAAGAAGCTAACTTAACTAGAAAGAGCATGAGATTCTCAAGTTTATTCTTCAAGTGTTTCTTTACTGAAGATATAATTTATGACAAAAACAACCTTTGATCAAGTCCATTGTGCTGCCTTTTGTGAAATACAATAAACTGGTACAGATTAAACTTTTTTTAAAAAGAGAAGTTGTACTGATTTGCCAACAACAAGTGTCCTCAGGGTGGTCTTCATGGCTGTGTGACCTGCACGGCTGCATAGAGCCTTGACCTCAGAAGGGCCCCAGGATTGTTTGAATGCTCTGCTGTCATCATCTTGAAATTCCTATTAATTTTTGAACAGGGGGGCCTTGCATTTTAATTTTTCACTATCTCTGCAAATTATATTGCCATTTCTGAGGAACAGGCAAGTGTTAGGACTATTGATCTGAGTTTTTCTTTAATATAGCATCACTTTTTGGAAGGTAACATTTCATAGGTTGGACATGTTTTAATTTTGCAGAAGTGTTTGCCAAACAATTTTTTCTACTGAGGAAGTAAATATTCAGCAAAACACTGAATTATAGAGGTTATCCATTGGTGCTCTTAAGATACAGACTCAATTATGTGTTTTCTGGATATCAAGCCTCCTACCACTTGCTGGAAATCTCTTGATGAGATAGGTAGACTCTCAGGGAGAGAGGAAAAGAGACCCTTAGTAGACCCAGATCTTCAGGCAAGAACTACTCATGCTTGTTCCTTTAGTTAGATGAACAAAGCTTCCAGCATATGCTTGTAACACATCAACTAGGACAAAAACAATCAATTTAAATGTCACCAGATTCAAAGACTTACACAATTGTGCCCACAAATGATCTATGGCCAGACTGCTTAAACAAAAAGAAACATTCTAATCCCCAAATATCAAATTATTTTCTTGGAACTTAATTCTCAAGAAAAAGCTTGCCTGGGAACCTGCACTTTTTTTTTGGGGGGGGGATACCAGGGATTGCATCCAGGGGCACTTAACCACCAAGCCACATCCCCAACCCTTTATTATATTTTATTAGAGACAGGGTCTCCCTGAGTTAATGAGGCTGGGTTTGAACTCACGATCCTCCTGCCTCAGCCTCCCGAATCACAGGGATTATAGGTGTGTGCCATTGCACCCAGCTCCAGGAAAATCTTATATGTAATCGGAGAGTTAAAGCTGGGTCATCACTTGTCACTCCCTCTGAGACAAGGGGTGCCCACACCCTGATTTTGGGGTATGTACATCTTCACTGTCCCTAAATAAATCCTTGTGTGTGCCTTACTTTTGACATGTACTGGGATTCTTTCAAAAGTCAAGAACCCCCAGGCTGAACTGAGGTTCATTCTCCTCCTTGGAGGGACCTTTTCAGACCCCAGTCTAGTGACATGAATGCCAACTTTTTGACACAGAAGAGAGTCCTGTCCCTTGGAGACTGGGTTTTCTGACTATATCAATGATACCTTTAATGTCAAAGCAGAACAAAAACAAAGTCACTTGCCAAACAGGCTATATGCAAAATCCTTCTAGAGTTGTATTTCCCCAATTTCTCATATAGGTCTCTTCTACCTCAACTTTAATAGCAAAATATTTTCAACAACTCATTCTTTGAATCATCCAAAAACATTCAATAATTTTCATAGAAATGATCCTCAAGCTTATCAAACTCATTTTTTTGCCAGTTTATATAACAATGAAAGTTATAAAATGACACCAAGGTCAATTTACACCTACAGGACTGGGCACACCCGGGGATTATGGAAAGCATGATCATTCACCAGTGGGAGCAAAGGGCCCTGGAATCCTAGGATAGCCAAAAAGTTGTGAGTAATCAGTGTGCCAAGGGCTTTGGAGTACCTCCTTCACAGAGAGGAGAGTGAGGGTTAATCTGAGCCTTAAATGGAGATAGATTAAGAGCATCCACTCCAATAATAAAGATAATAGAAACATTACTCCAAATCCAGACTTTTCTGCATGCTCTCTCCAGGCTGTTGGCGGTATTCAGACACCTGCTTGCAGACACTTTGCAAGTGAGCACTCCTGGTGGTTGGCTGGCTCTCCCCTCTACTAATTGACATTGTTTTCAGGGTGAAAACTGTCATACAGCCTTATTTTTCCTTGGCTTCTCATAATCCAGACTCACCTGAATAATCTAATAACATCAATATCATTGTGGGGTTTCTGTCTCTGGGGATCAGAGGGGAGGAAGTTTGACTACAGGTATGGGTGTATTAATGGTTGCCTGGGTAAAGGAGTGTAAGAAATTGAGTGAAAAAGAGGAGAGAGCAGAAATCCAAAAGACCTCGGTTCTTGTCCCAGCTTGGCCCTCATTGGTGGTGAGAATTTGAGACAAACTACCTAAAAACTCTTCAGGTTTTCTCATGTACAAAATGAGCATCAATGACCAATAATAACAATATATATTTGTTAAATAAACGAACTCATAAATGTGGCAATCTGGTGGGATGGCACAGGGTTAAACAAGATGATGGGTTTGAAAATGCTTGGAAAATGGCACAAAATTAGTCACAGATACAATGACAGCCCTGCTGTAGCTAGTAAGTAGCATTTGCACTCACAAAACCCCAAAAGGCACAGAAATTTGTGAAACAGAGACTGAGTGGTAATGTCCTTTCCATCCATCTTGTTGGAGGCTCTCCATGTGTCTTAAAGATTGAAAGGGTGCTTTCCTCTGGAAATCTAGCCAACTTTTGTTTTCTTTTCTGAAATCATCGATTGCCTCTGGTTAGAACACTCATCTATATAAATCTACGCCAAGTCCACAGTCTCAATTCTTGTGGCACCAGTCAGCTATGAGTTGAATGTTTGCTAGATTAGAGAGAGGCTCAGAATGAACTGGTGATAACCTGTACCCTTAAGTACAGCTCAGTCCTGAACTGTCCCTGCTAAAAGCAACAATTTGCATCCTACATCTCTGCACAGAAAGTTTCCATGGTTACGTCAGCTGATCTAAGAGGACAGGACTCTGGGATGGCAGCCTCCTTAAGACACCATGTGGGTGACCCGCATAATCTGGGGGTGTTGTGGGACTGCCTCTCCAGCACAGTGGCCATGTTTCTGCAGTGGCTAAGTGCCCTTGAAGGGTAACTCTTTACACCGAGGGCCAGGGTGGTACTTTCCCTGGGATGCTGTGTTGTCAGAGTAGACCTCTCCTTTGTTGGGGCCAGTAAAAGGGAGAATGTAAAAGGGGAAGGAAGATTTGGACGAGGCTTACCCAAGATGGCCTGAGAATGATGTGAGGCTTAAGAGATTGAGAAGATAAGCCACAGAGTGGGCAAAAGTATTTGAAAAGCCATGTCTAGTAAAGGACACTTACTCAAACTATTCAATGAAGTCTTGAAACTCAATAAAAAAAGAGAAAACAACCTAATTTAAAAAATGGGCCAAAGACCTTAACAGACTCCTCATCAAAGAAGATATATTCA